ACATATACATACACATACACATACACATACACATACATATACATATACATACATACATACATACATACATACCTACGTACGTACGTACGTACGTACGTACGTACGTACATACATACAGGTCGTGTTTCTACCTTGACAGTAATAGCCTGAGCAAAACCGTGGCTCCCAGGTAGCGTTCCCAACTTTCTGTTCTATTTGATGCTTCGCTATTAGGGGTTTATCCTGACATCCCCCAATACAACCCAATATACTGTAGTAGTTTCCAGTCTATTTTCCAGTATCCCAATATAACCCCAATATACCCCCAACGCAACTCCTGCATGACCCTGCCGTGGGCCTGAGCGTGCTGCAGGAACTTCGGAAGCTTGCAGCCGTTGGCGTATTGCCATCCCCCAGCCACGGCAAGAATCCCCCCGACATGGGTGGCTTCTCCCGGGGTGTGTTGGAGTCACTTTTGCCGCGGAAAGGGCGAGTGTTGCAGTGCCCTGCTTCGGATGCGCCATAGTCTAAACTCCTTAAAGGGTCATATAAGGGATTATATAGGGGACTACTATGGGGCTTATTAAGGGGGATACTGGGAGTTTAGACTATAGCTCAGATGCTGGTATGACAGGTATCCTGATAAGCCTGAGTAGCGGCTACTATACTACTGTCAGGTACTCGTTTTGACATTGATGACCCTCCCTCTAGCTTCCATGACGGATTTTTTGAGCGTTAGCTATTGCCCTGAATACCTACTTTTTAATGAGCCAAGTATGGCTTCCCCATTCCTACTATGAAGCACGACCCTTCATAAGATTGCTCTTTGTTGGAGAATGGTTTTGGCTAAGCCCCATGCGCCAGGTTGATCTAAAGAAGCTGATCAATGCGTGCGACTCTCAGAAGCGCCGCTGGCTTGCAGAATTGAGGTCCCATTTTGAGGGCCCCGAGTTTTACCGTATCATATAGGAGCTGCTCAAAAAATCTCAGAAGGATTCCCATGGTCGTTTTACAGTCCCTACACATCCCTGGGGTCCTTACCCCTTTCTGAGAAACCTGAGTAGTACCCATTCGTTTAGGCGCAGAGTCACTCAGGCGGCGAACACTCCTGCAGATGCAGCCCAGCCAAAAGCAAGCTGAGCCAGAGCCTCAACTTGTTGTGATTGATGTCCCCCCCCCCCCACCACCACCACAATCCTAAACCCTAAACCCTAAACCCTAAACCCACCCCTGAAAAGAACTATCAGTGGTCGTTGTCGCACATACTGCATTTGTTGTTATTCCTGCTGCCAATGAAACTTGTGCTCAGGCTGTCTATATGGCGGTTCTCCATTATCATGCCATGTCATACAACCTGGCGCAGTACAAACCAAAAGTTGACAAAAATTGTCCCCCAACCGTTGATGCCCCAAACCGCGTTCATGATACCTTTTGGGAAGTCTCAAAATTCCACCTGTAGACACTTCATTGGAACTCCTATGTTCACCTTGTAACCCCTGTATTTTTCTCAGGGTCCCCAAAAGCACTCTTAGTTGGAAAATTTCCCTGGGTTCCATGTTAGAAGTGTTTGGCTGCGGGAGGATACCGAGCCAGCCGAAGACCAAGCAAGCCCTGGCCAAGGACATGCTTCAAGCGATGAAGGCCGCAGATTGGGGTTACATTGGGGCTATATCGGGGTTATATAGGGGCTATATTGGGATAATGGAAAGTAAAATGGAAACTACTATGATAGGAGATGGGGCTGGGGTTGAGGAGGGGTTGGTGCTTAGGGGGTACAAGCCGTATAGGGCTTAGGGGTTGGGTTTCAGGGTTTTGAGGGGCGGCCAAGTGGCCAAATGCATGGGCGGGAGTTGCTTTACTCTCTTGGTCTTTCCTTGTCTCAAGCCTTTGGTTGCATGGACTATGAGATCGCAAGGCATTTCGCAGCGACATGCATGGCAATTTAGCAGTATAACGCCCTCAATAAGCATGGCACTACAAATTGGCAGTCAGAATAGATCTACTGATTGTGAACGCAATTCCCATGGTAGCAGTCAGAGGACTGACACCTTTAAAAGCAGTAACACTGGATAGTGGGAAATGATGACTTAACAGCAGTTCTCAACAGAAGTCTGGGCGATGGCCAGAGTTCATGGGTAGCAACTCAAATTGCACCAGACCCTAGCCCCTATGCCCTAAACTGCCAAGTATAAAGGGCTGAAACATTGGCCGGCCGAGACCTGGAATCCTCCCCTCTTACCCAAAAAGTAATTGAACATGATTTCAAAAGCTTGAAGTGCTGAACCCCAGACGCTTCACCCCTAAGCCCCCAAGCCCTAGCCCCGGAATCCTTATGAGCCATAATCCCCCAAAACTAAGTCCAGAAGCCTCTATGCCTAGTACCCCAAACACTAAAACCCTGTAACTCCAGAGTTTTAGAAGCCCAAACCCTAAATAGTAGTTTCCGTTTTCTTTTCCATTATCCCTTTTTAACCCCCATTTAACCCCTGTAATACCTATAGTTTGGCGCCCTGAACCCAGGAGAAGGATCCTAAAAAGCTCGCTCGCGTCTTGGACGCCGCTGCAGCAGCCGAAGTGAACCTACCGGGTTTGGAGGCCTCCATTGGGATGCGGGAGAGCTTCCTCTAACAGGGCTATAAGGGCTTACGTAGGGACATCTCTAATAGAATAATAGTATACTGATGATAATGATAATGATAAGAAAAAGAAGAACATATATGTATATATATATATACATACATATATGAATATGCTTGCATGCTATAGGGATATATACGTGAGGTTTAGGGTGAAGGGTCTAGGTTTTTTGGGGTCAGGGCCAGGATTGAGGGTTTGCGGGTTTAGGGCTTAGGGTTCAGCATTCAGTAAGTAGACAGGTTGAGCAACACAAAGAATACCGACCCTATGTGTCAGATTCACAATTATGTTAGTCATAGTGTGGTAAATTAGTGTTTGGAGTAGCCAAAATCCTTGGCTATTCTATCTAAATTCTACAGGGCCGCCAATTCCCTCAACCCTAATGCCAAGACCCAACCCCCCCAAAGTAACATGGAAGCCAATGCGGGCCCCTTCTGAGGAGGAGGGCATGCAGTTTGAGAAAAGCCATCTCCATCTTTAAGCCCCACCTGGACCCCAAAAGTATGTAAAATAATAGCCTTTATGGCTGTTATTCTGGGTTTAGGGCGTTTATTTTACATACTTTTGGGGCTTAGGCACACGAAAAAAAGAAGAAGTGGAGGCTGCTCGAAAGAAACTCGCTGAGTGGAAGGCGGCCCTGCCGGACGAGCCAGAAAGGACTTGGAAGTGGAACATGGTAGCCATGAAAACTGACGAGGGTTATTGTTTAGTAATTATTTTTCCCCAATTGTTTAGTAATTGTTTAGTTATTGTAGAGTCAAGACGTAGTCATCAGCCACGAAGCCATTGTACCCCCCATTTTTATGGACAACTTTTGTTTAAAATATGGCCGAAAGAAGATGAAATTTGAGTACCGCAATTGGCCTAATTTGCCAAACCATACGGCTTCAACTTTGGCGTTTGAAGATTAATGAGCTGGGTTCCAGGCTCCAGGAGGCTGATTCCAGCCCTCGGAGTGTTATTTGATTCATTTTCATATGAGTTTCCGAATTTTGTGTCCTAAAGCTTTTTCCAGGGTTGCATATTTTCCCGATTTCCTATAGTTTCCATGTTGTTCCATTTCCATGTTCTCGTATTTTGTGAACCGTTCAGAAACATGGGGAGATGGCGAACTGATATGGGAAGTATCGGAAAATAAAGGAGAAGATGGAACCCAAAATGGATGCAAACGCCTCAGGCAGAGGAACCGCACGCCTGTGGCCTTTATGTTTCAACATGGTTTCCGATTTTGTTTCATTCTATGTAAAACACAAGCCTAGGTTCGATAGCCCTAGCTGGGGGATCGTTATGGATTCATTGTAGCGGGACTACTGACAGTGTACTGGGTGACAGTTTACTGGGGGGCGGTGGCATAAAGCACGGGTGTGTTTCCACTCATAACCCATGACCTTCTAGAATCAGTTTCTACTCTCGCCAAGGAGCCTCTTGAAGAGCTTTGGAGTTTTTCACACATTCAGCTGGGATGGTACAGAGGAATTCTGCGGGGATGGATATGTCTTGTTGGGATCTTTACGTAAACATCTTTAGGTCCTGATGCTTCGACCATGCCTTCAACTTGGGGAAGCTACATCGTTTCCATCGCAGAGGGAGCCTAAGGCGTCGGTATCAGTGACTGGCAACACAAAGCCCAGGGCGATTTTGGGGCTTCTTGGGGACCCTGAAAGGAACATGTGTTTTTTTGTTTTTCGTTTTTTTTGTTTTTTGCTGTTTGGTCTTTTTTGTTGTTGGGTCCCTGAAAGACGAGCCGGGCAGACCGGTAAGTGAGTGAACTCCCGTCCCCGGGTCCCCCGCCCAAACAGAAAAAAACAAAAAAAAACGACACCCGCCCAAACAGCAAAAAAGTAAACACGACCCCCGCCCAAACAAAAAAAAAATAACACGCCCCCGCCCAAACAGAAAAAACAATAAAACACACACCCGCCCAACGATAAACACCCGAAAAAGCACAAACAACAAAAAAGACCAGACAACAAAAAC